AGACAATACTCTGAAATAAAAAAACATAACAATTGTAGTGGTAACAGTGCAAGAATACCATCCATTGATGTGCGAAATCCTTGACTCAAGACCATCATCAATTCTTGAAAATAACGGGTGCGATATTCTTGATATTGAACACCTAAATGGTAATTTATCATACAAGTAAATATCTTCTTACCGAACTTTAATTTTCTTAATTGCAGGCGAATGAAATGAAGAATATTTAAATGACAACGTAGAGGAGCACAATTCAGACTTTGATTTGCCTTCAACATCCGCATTTTTGAACCCGCAGAATTACGCAGATGAAACGAATTGGGAGTTAGGAATAGATGACTTGCCTTCGACGTGAACTTCATCGAATACCACCACAACGCAAATTCGACTAGATCGATCGTAGGGCAGAGGAAGTTACGCAAAGGCACTGTCCAGCTTTCATGAAAGTTGGTCTCGCGAATGCAAAATTATGATTAGCCGCCAGGAAAAATTCTTTAGCGAGGAAGCGGAAAAACAGCGTGAATGGGAAACGAAAATGCAGCAAGAGCAGCGTAAGCACAATGAAAATTTGGTGCGTAGTAGCAATGAGACAATTGAAAGTGCTATCAGAGGTCTAATTGCATCGCAGAATTTAAATTAATTAAAACTATTTATTTTTTATTCTCTATTTGAAAATCTTTTTATTTTTTAATCTCTATTTGAAAAAATATTTCAATTTAATATTAAACTTATTATTTTCAATTATTTAAATTTATTATTAAGCTTAAATTGTTATAAATATATTATATTATATATATTATATTGTTAGTTATAAATAAACGTATAAATTAATTAATTAAAAATTGGTTTTTTCTACATTATTTTTTTAATTGTTTCTATGTAAAAGTGGAAATTTTCTCGCCAAGTACGCGCATATATGATCTCGCATAAAATGTCCGGACAACGAATTTTGTCGATTGCACATCTGTTCAGGTTGGGGATATTCACTTTCATCATGGATTCTTTCTACATCCCAAGAGAAATTATAACGTTGTTTAGATATCTCCACAAAATTGTGAAGAATTCCGCACGCTATTATCACATGCGGCATATTGTAAACATACATTAAGACTGAAAAGTTTTCGGAAATTCTCATTTAAAATTCGCGCGCGTATATTTTTCGATATTTTAAGTTTATGTAGTTTGGCAGCACTGTCCTTAATTACTATGCCAAAAATGAGCTCGATCTGTCAGACAGTTCGTTTACGGCAGCTGTTGAAACCAGTTCACCTCAGTAGTGCGTTGCGAAATGTCTTCGACGGTCGTACGACCGTCCTGGAAGGCTTTGTACCACTCATAAACTTGAGTTTTCGATAAAACTGATTCCCCATAAGCCTTTTGTAGCATTCGCAACGATTCTGCACACGAAATTTCGTTCGAAACACAAAATTTGATGCAAACTCTTTGTTCAATATTTTTTTCCATTGTTTTTTTCGCAACGCCCTACTGAGGTGAACTGGTTTCAACAGCTGCCGTAAACGAACTGTCTGACAGATCGCGCTCATTTTTGGCATAGTAATTAAGGACAGTGCTGCCAAACTACATAAACTTAAAATATCGGAAAATATACAGCGCGCGAATTTTAAATGAGAATTTCCGAAAGCTTTTCGGTCTTAAGTATAGGTCGCTCTTCTTATAAAGTATTCTCCATCTTCCTTTCAAGCGACCAAATGCTTGCTCCACAACAATTCGTGCTTGATTCAAATATAAGTTGAAGGATGTCTCTTCAACAGTTAACTCGTCCCTATAATTTTTCATAATCCAGTTACAAAACGGATAAGCTGCATCACCAATAATATAATAAGGAAGTTTAAAAAGCATAGCTTCATTTGAGGCGTTGTAAATTCCGGCGATTTCCCTATGGCTTTCAGGAATTAATGTATTATGGTTTTTGTATAGAGAACTGCCCCTAAGCACTGATGCATCGTGTGCACAGCCAGGATTTTGTGCTGTGATATTTTTAAATAAATATTGATCATCCACAATAGCTTGCACTGCAATGGAACTATAACCCTTTCTGTTACGAAAGTCTGCAGCACCGTCTTGTGGGGGTTTAATTGGCACATGAGTGCCGTCTATAACACCAATAATATTTGACAGTTTAAATTTTTGTTCAAATCTCGAGGCTATGCGTTCACATTCTAATGCATTTGGCCAGGATAATATTTTGCCGACTTGATTTTCAATTAAAACTTTACAGAAACTGTGAACACATAAGCAAACAGTACTTTTTGATACTCCAAATCCCTTTGCAATTACACGGTATTCAGCACAAGAGGCAAGTTTGTAAACTGCAATAGCTATTTTCTTTTCAACAGACAACCCTTCAACGAAAGTATTTTCTGCTGGTGCCATTTTATCCTTAAGCAAATCTACAAGCCTGAAAAATATTTGTCGATTCATTCGAAAATCAGCAATCCATTGTTCATCGTCATAGAACTGCAGAACTTCAACATCCCACCACTCCGAACTTCTCTTCCTTTTGCTAAAAGTTCTTATTCGTGGTGGAATCTAAAAACAAAAATGCATTCTAAATATTTTATGAAAAACTTTATAAAAACATTTACATTCATTAAAGCCTCATTAACGTATTGCCATTTTATTAAAGAGCTGCAATCGCATTTCTCGTAATTTTGTAAATTTTTTACGGAATGATTTTAAAATCAGCATTGTTGCTTTATTATTTTTTTCTACAATTTTGGCTATAATATTTTTCTTGCAATAAAACTAAAGCAATTTGTAGTCTTACTCTATTCATTTTTAAAATGTTTAAAATCAACATTTCTGTTTGCCGTTAAACAGCTGGTTGACTGACAGCTACCTTAAAAATGCTTTTAATGCTTGTGCGTAAACACTGTAAGAACAAATTTTAAAATCAGTTTTAAAAGTGATTTTTAGACTCGCGTAAACGTAGTGATAGACATACAATTATAGAACTGTGAATATGATCACCTATTTTTATAATTTCTTACTCAATGTTATTTTAATTTTAAATAATATAAAAAATAACAAATTAAGTCAAGTGAATAATGTATACATAAAATTTATAGAAATAAATACTTAATTATTGAAATAATTATCGTAGCAACATGCAAATTAAAATCACATAAGTGAATGTTTGTGTTAGCGGATAGCGCTAGCCGGTGATATCAGAGATACACGGAATCATTCACGTTGCAAAAAAAATGTTTGCGAAATTCCACAGACCCCTTTGCTATATCTGATGCGCATTTTATTGAAATTTTGTTTTTCGAAATATTTATGTAAGCTTATTAAGGCGCAGAAAAGACGGACGAAGAAATAAATGAAGATAACGACTTTGAAGCACAAGAACCCGTCCCTTAAGCGTTTATAGAAAGAGAGGAAATAATTAATAATTATTTTCAATATTAATTGGATTTTATTTAAATAAGTTTTATTATTATTAAAATATGTATTTATTTATATTGTTATTATTTTAGTATTATTTTATTAATAATAAATTGTTATTATGTCCAATATTGAACACTTGCACCGCTACTGCAATAATCCGTTCATCCAGATCGGTTAAATCCCATTTGCATTTCTGGTCATTCCCATTCCATGTTTATACTCTTGGACTTTTCTCTTGCTCTTGGGTCTAAAATTAAACAATGGAGTTTTTTTATTCACAGTTTTTCAATATAGTTTCTCTAAGAGAAATATGCACACTACAATTTTAAAATTAAATGTGACGATGTCATTTTACATGCTTGTTTGTATAATTCTTTTACATATAAATAGTATTAACTATTAACATATATTTCAAACCTTCTTCTTTCGTGAAGACTTCGCGCACTATGATCCGACACAAATCTGTCATGAGCAAATCTATATGCTCCATATGCTGGACCAGCGCTTGTTTCTGCTCCTAGCTAATGCGTTTTGTCTTTAAATCTACGAACTCCATCATAAATATCTGAAAATTAAATAACAAATAAAATATATTAAATAATATATGTGGAAATATGCATATAATTATTTATTTTGTTTACTGTTTTATTTCCAAGTCATTATTTTTGGTGCAATTTCAAAAATTAAAAATAAAATATGAAAAATAAAATACATTTGTTTACATTTGCTGAGAACCAAACACACTCTCACTATATTACTGCCACAATATTTTTGTAATATTAATTATTTATTTTCATTTTACTTTAAATGCAAAATTTATTTCTATCACAATAACTTAATTAATAAATAAATATGAATATAATACTAAATACGTACAAAATAATTGCTCAATTTGTTTAAAAAATAATATTTTCACTTTAAGCGACACCAAAAACCTAGTCGCCAAAAACAATCAAATTAGGAGAAATTTTAGTAGTTTTTAACGAAATTTAGCAATTGCCAATTTAACAGAATACGAAATTTGGAGATTTAGCGATTTATCCGGAGAAATCAGCTGTTTTTGAAAGTTGAGAAAATTAGCGAATAGAAATTAAGCGTAACGAGTTAGCAGAATCGAAAAAGTCGCTAAAATGCATTTAAAAAATTTTAGCGATAGCAATTAGTGGAATCGCCCTGCAACTATTGAACTCAATATTTATTTTATGTACAAAATTAATAGAAATTTCCGATTAATTACGCACATGAACAGTATAATGTTTTCACTATTTCTCAAAGATGAAAACATGGGTGGAAAGTTCCGAACAGAGTAGTGTTTTGAGTATTAAAGTTAATAGAATGGTGTTCGAGGTGTTTTCGTGATTTAATGTAAAATAAATTCTTGTAACAGTAAATAAATAATCTTACATATCATAAAAGGATAAAGTACTAAATGTTTTTGTGGTTTAATTTAAAATAATTTGTTGGAATAGTAAATAAATAATCTTATATATCGTAAAAACATGAAAAACTAAAAATACAAATGTTGAAAAGAAACCTTCAACAACAGCAACAGCAGCCACAGAAACATCAACATCAACAACAGTATCAGCGACAACAGCAATAGCAGCAGCGGTAACCGTTAGACAACAACAGTGGCGTTACGAATGTTTTGTTTTTGTTTTAAAATTTTTTAATAAAGAGAGAAATTAACTACAAAGTTAACTGTCTATTTTTTGGGTGGCCACAGGGAATCACATAACAATTTTCTTGAGACTGCCGTTCTCGTGAAACCCTGCTATATAAATTGTTGTGGATGCCCGAAAATTCATAACACCGGGATTTTGAGATCACTTATCATATATCATATATCTAGGATATATGATATGATATAAAGAAAGAAATTAAAGAAATTTGAAGTGAAAAATAATATTTAGAAATGGATAAGTGTGTGATTAAAGATTTGATTCAATGTCTTTTTTTAAACGATCTTCTGAAAAAAAGATTTTAATTCATGAAATGAATAAACCAACTCCAGATATGAAGAATTTGATACCTGTTGTAAAAATGTCGAAATCTATGGTAAGTCGTCGTTTTCCAACAGCTACAGCTTTATGGTAAATAAAAACCAGTGGATCACAGGCTGCGAACATTTAAATAAATTGTGTTGTTGGTCTTGTACGCTATTTGCTTGTGGAAAGGACAAAACTTAGAAGTAGGGGGAATACGTTATAGTTGGAATTCTGTTTTGATTAAATTGTGAACACCTTGCCAAAAAGCTGACGCCTCGCTACTGGATATGATATATGAATATGATACATTCATTTATCATATATCTAGGAAAATTAATAATAATCTAACGAAAACTAAATTAACGAATATTTTCAAGAAGAATTTTACGCGAAATCAAAAGCGAAGTGAAAATATTTAAAGAATAACTGGTTTACTAACAACAGTAAAAAAAATAATAATAACATTTACAAAATCAATAAATACGAAAACAAATCAAATTAATCAAATATAAATATATTACTCGCGCGAAATAATAAAAAATACGTGTAACGTTAGTGAATCAATTGCGATTAAGTTCTGTATAAAGAAATCGCGGGAAAAAAGTGATTTTTTT